GGTGTGTGTGGGTGGGGGTGTGGGTGTGGGTGTGGGTGTGGGGGTGTGGGTGTGGGTGGATGTGGCTGTGGGGTGTGGGTGGATGTGGGTGCGGGTGTGGTTCTAGTGCTTCTCTTATCGGACACCCACACCCACACCTAATATGGACGTACTTGACAAATCTCATACCTAGCAATATATAGATCTCAAATAGTGATAGGTCGGTAGCGTTATATACGAGGCACAACTGGTAAAAAAATCACATGCTTCTGAAGAGTGGTTGAAATTATATGAACAAATAAGTGTTGGGGTACCATGCTGGTTGATCACGCCCATATATATATAAGATGGAAATCTAAGTGCGATGCTATACTTTTTGACACTCTGTAGTGAAAAACTCTAATGTCCAACAAAAAACGTCAGAGAACAAGAAGCAATGAAGTGTAAATTGTATTGATTATTGTTATTCTTCGATATTTAATTGAAGCTTAAACACAACTTAAATTACAAAATTTGAACAATCACTGAAGGAATTAGTAGTAATGTGTTTTCGTTACTTTGGTTTTTATCAAATATATAAAATGTTTTACTTTTTAAATCAACGTTTTAATCAACTATTTAATTGAATATATAACAAAAATTCACATTGACTTATATTCAGTATCATCTGAAAAATTTTTAACATTTTGTTTTGCCTTACATCAATTAACAATAATAAGTCAAAATTATTCATTATCGATTGCAACTCTTGACAAATATAAATATAATTTAATATTTTACGATGATTTATTTAAAGAGAAACTTTCTAAAGTAAAATCATCAACATTATCAAGTATAGATGCTAGAACTATCTATTCTATAATATTTGATGAAACAATACAATTGTATCAAACCTTAGAACCATTAAGTTTACAGAATAAAAGTTGGTGAAGAAAATGAACACAGCAATGAAAAAAAACTTAAGAATAACACTGCTTCACTATCTCTGAGATATGAAACTCGATTTTGCTTATTTATATATATGTAGTCATTTGATATCATCAAAAATGAAATCATTAAAATATTTGAATTTAAATTTCAAACAATATTCATGTGAATATTAGCATGGTTTGTACAGACGTACACATTACGTTGATTTAGAATTATAAAGATTAACCCCTTCACCATTATTGACGAATATATTCGTCAAAGCAATCTTCATAGAGAAGATGAAGACTACATTAGGGGTGGACCATTTACATTAACGTGACTTAATTAAGTTCATTAATTAAGTGAATCACTTAATATTAAAATTAACTTGTTTTTTTAAGCACTTAAAACTCAATATTAAATTAAGTGAATCACTCGGTTCAAGCTGCTTATTCCGAAGAAGTATTTTGTTAGGAAAATAACGCTAATTTATAAAGTTGACGATAATGTATCCTGGTTCGGAGATTCGAATCGGCAGTCGGTTTTTGAATAATTTGACGTTCATTTTTTGCGCCAAGGAAAATATTTTGGATGTATGTAACCATCATTAGTAAAGTTTGGCAAAAGGAAATCGCGGTCGGAGAATCCAAAATCGGATTCTTGAAGATTTAGAGTTCACTTTTCTCAAGGCTACATTGCTTTTTTTAGGTGGTGGTTTTTCTACAAAAGTTACTCCTTGCAAACAACATCTTATATGAAAAACTACAATACAAAATGTTCAAAAACCTACTTGAGGTTCGAATTTCCAGATTCCGATTCACTCTCGCTAGCACTTATAAGCTACTGTTATCGTGTTCAAAAATCGACTTTCCTTCATGATAAGCAGCTAGGACCAGTTGATTTTAATTATTTAAAATTCAGTATTTGGTTTTAAATTGAAAATGTTTCTCAGCTCAGTCTGTGAAGGGCTAAAATTGAGAACTGACCTATTTTCTTTTGCTCCTTTTAGTAATGCAAAATACGGAAAGTATGAAATTAAGAATTTGTTTGGGTTTTTCTGACGAGCGCCTCATCTTTCATTTTAATTGTGATACTCTCTCATTATTCTAAATTTTCGTAAGTGTGCTTTTTAATCTTAAAGTTTTATTACAACGAGCATCAAATTAGATGGTGAATATGCTGCTTTATATTTCCACTTTTTAATTTCAGTTCGTCTGGTTTGTAGAGGGGGTTGAGCTGCCTAAGATTTGTAATGGAGGGGGGAGGAGAGAGTCGATGATTGTTGTGATTGTTAATGAGTGCAATGCTTTTAACGGCGTGGCAGGAGGTTGATGAGGCCTCAGAACTGTCCCTTTAAACTTTCACTCACTATTGTCCTCCAAAATATATGTGAGTTAAACAAAACTTAGCATTAATATTAAGTTTTAAATGCTAAAAAAACTTAATTTTAATATCAAGTGTTGAGTGACTTACTTAACATTAATATTAATGATAAGTGAAAAGTTTGAACTTAATTTTAAATTAATGTTAATGGCCCACCCCCTACTTCTTTCCCCCTTACTCTCAGCTAGGGAGGCCGCGTGTGCCAGTCTTTCGCCTTCACCCTCACTATGCCCATTAGGTACATTATGCCTAGTATGTCCACTGTGGAAACTGAAAGCACTTTCCGGAAATTGATTTGATGTCCACAAGCCTATTGAATTTCGTGGAAACTAAGAGAACGCATCATATGTAGAAGAGCTGAAGTAAAAAGAGTTAACAATCAAAACTCTAAGGTTCACTTTACCTTAAGGGCTACCCCCCCCCTCCTCATCCCAAACAAACTTTTTTATTTTTCAATACAATTCAATCAAAATTTGAGAGGACGTTAGTCTTGGCTAGAATAGACTATGGCTAAAATATCTCGCCAAATGTCCAAGATATCCATGAGTCAAAGCCAATTCATTGGTCAATAGTGCCCTTCACGCTGACAGGTTTTTGAAAATGAGGATACGAGCTAACATGTCCAGAATGGTTTTAAGTTGTAGTATACATTTACGGCTACATCCCAATAAAGCCAAATTTTTCAATTTCCTCGTTGTTCGTCTATTAAAACACTTTAGAAAAATTTTCGAATTCATGGCCAAAAACCACTAATCAGAACTAAAGGTCTAAGGTTTTTATTTCAACAAAGGAAAATTTCAAAAATTCGGCTCTATCAGGATCTGTCTCTAACCGTCTGCTATCTAACAAAAAATTACCAATTTTATATTGAGTCGTTATCGAGAAAAATTTTGCCCACGTAAAGGGTATACACGAAAACTGATTTTTGAGAAAAACGAAAAACAAGATGTTTTATTTAGTAAGTGTCTCCCTTCGAAAAAAGTCTGTTTATGTTTAGTGCCGAAGCCAGAATTTTGACGGTGGGGAGCCCATATGGTGAAGCTTCATCCAGTGAAGAATTCATCCTTTCGTAGGCCGTGAATTTAGTCCTACGATGAGAACTGAGTCCACCTCTTGCAGGACTCAGCCATCTAACTTCCCGATGGCTTCGCTCCTACTTATGTTACGTAACAAAAAACTTCAGCCAGCTTAAAGCCCACTGCAAGGGCTATCAGAATATGCATAAATCTTGAAATTCGGTTTTCTGGAAAAAATCGACTTTTCTGATGGGGCCCTTAAATATCATCGTATCCTATGCACATCGAAATAACGTTGGATATTTGCAATGTCTTCGATCAGCCTTTTGAAAGTGATATTTATACATACACTTTCGGACAAAAGTCTCTCGATTTCTTTATTTTTATGCAATCATACTTTGCATGAAATTTATTACCAAGTAGAGATATGACATGAGAGTTTTATTTCACTATAGCGCACAGACCACACTGAAAAAAAACTCGTAGATCATATCTCTACCCAGTAATAAATTTGACACAAAGTACGATAGCATAAAAACAAAGAGGAGAAAAGACTTTTGTCTAGGGGTATATAATGTTGTCTTTTATCCTTTTCGATATCGAATCATTCTGTAATCAGACAAGAGCTCAGTTAAATTGATGCATTCATCGATTTCAATTTGGTATTTTCTTATTTTCACTGTAATTTGCTATAAAAATATTGATTATAATATTCGTGGAACAACTGTTAATGGATGGGAATCTATTAATGATTTATTTAGGCAAAATTTCGTACAAGAACGAGATTTAGGTGCATCAATAGCAGTTTATCATCAAGGTAAATTAGTTGTTGATCTATGGGGTGGATGGTTTGATCAAGCACAAACAAAACCCTATGATAATGACACATTACAATTGGTGTTTTCAACATCAAAGGGTTTAGTAGCTGTAGCTGTTGCACTTTGCGTTCAACAAGGTCTACTTGATTATTCAGCATTAGTTACAAAATATTGGCTAGAATATGGACAAAATGGAAAAGAGAATACTACAGTAGCAGATATTCTGTCACATCGCGCCGGATTACCGAATGCGCCACCTTCTTTCGAAGAATATCTGAACTGGACAGGAATGATCCATACACTAGAACAACAGCGTCCATTGTGGTCTCCGGGAACGACTCATGGTTATCATGGTCTTACGTATGGTTGGCTTGCTGGAGAACTTGTGCGACGAGTAGATCCGAAGAGACGAACTCTAGGACAGTTTATTCAAGATGAAATTGCGAATCGAATAAAGATTGAATTCTTTATAGGCCTACCACCACAACACAAATATCGTGTATCGCCACTAGTCCATAGTGTGAACCCGCAAGAAATAGTATTAAACGAATCAGAAAGTGCCGCATTTAACAAATACAACGAGTATGATACACATCGAGCAGAAATACCTGCTGTAAACGGAATAACAAATGCTCGATCAGTAGCAAAACTTTATGCATCCTTAATCGGTGAGTTGGAAAATGGAAAACAAAGACGACTACTGAACGAAGAAATTTTAAAGCAAGCAACGCAATCGAATACTCCCGAAAATGAGACGGATTTTGTAGTACATGATGCCACATCATTTGGCATGGGTTTTTTACTGTTTGATCAGATTTCTACATCGGTTCCACCAGGAACATTTGGTCACAACGGTAACGACAAAAATTCTATCTCATTGTTAAATGAACTTTTTTCTTGTATATTAGGACTTGGTGGTAGCATTGGGTTTGCCGTGCCCTCTAAGAATCTTTCATTTGCTTATGTTGTGAATCGACAGGACTTGAAAGCAACGACTATCGATCCCCGAATTCAATCGATCCTAGCCAAAATTATGACAATAATTGACAGGAATAAAGGGTGTTTCATAAGTTTCAACCCCCTTTTAGTTTTTTTCCTATCTTTGTCATATTTCATCCTGGACAGATATTGAGTATAGATTTTTGAATAGCAACATCTAAGGGAACAAGTTTACTTTCCTGGCTACCTCCGGTTTTTTGGATTTTATGCTGTCTATGAGATTTCTAGGTGCGGAAAACGATAGAACAGAAGATAAAACTTGGCGGTCAGCCCTATATGCCCAAAGTGTGACGACTTTTTGGTGGAAGAAGTGTTAGCGTTGGTGAAATTACGCTTTATTATAATTCTTCTTCTCAAGAATCGCATCGGTTTTATACAAAGGGTGTGGGTGCTTGTTCGTTTATCTTCACTTAACGAACACCCACACCCACACCCACACCCACGTTCGCGCTTACTGATTTTGAAGCGATTCCGAAATAGAAACCCTTTTTTTATTGTTCATTGTTTTAGTTTTTTTTCTATTCTGTTTTTCAATCGTTAGCAGTCAAATGCTAAAAACAAAGCTAGTCACATCACGTGAACTTGTAGAATATCAAAATTGAAATATAATACGATGATAGACATGATAAATTAATGTAAAATTAAAAGAAAGGTGCGTGAATAAAAGACGAATCGATAAATACGATAGAGACCATATATACACTCGATGTTCACATACTCTCTTCAGTTGAGTAATGATGAAGTTTCATCAGGAGCCGAATGTAAAAACATCATACCGGTCGCTTGTTTCTTAAAAGAACAGACA